GTCAGCCTGCAATACTGCATTCTAACCACTACGCCACCACGGTTCTTGGCAGACACCCCTTATGGCCACTGTTCGTAAAGGGATAGAAACAACTCCAAAAACCATGTTTTGACTATTTTTTCCTGCCTTGATTTTTTTATGGCATTACATTATCTTCATTGTCATCTTAGTCAGTTGGTTATCCAAATGGCAAATCTGTTTGCCTTTATTTCTTTATTTATTTAACATATGGCATACAATGTCAGGGAAATCTACAAATGCTAGACAGAATGCAGTCCTGACAGCCTAGATTGCTAGCTCATTCTGTTTGACGCTTACCTTTCCTTCACCAGCACTGTCTGGAGGTCATGTTGCATTTCAGCTCAACATCCAATTTTTGGGCATGCTGGCAGGGAATTAGAGGAGTTGAAGTCCAATCTGGGGGTTGGGGCAGGGGACCAAGTAGAAGAAGTTTGATGTAAGTAGGCAGAAGAAGCCTCTTCCTGTGGCCCTTTGTAGTCCCTGCCAGATCTCTTTTTAAATACGAACCCATACAGTATTTTAAAAAGGGTTTGCATCTTTGTTTTAAATTGACAGAACATGTCCAGGGGAGGAAAGGCACAACAGAAAAGATAGCAAACACTAGGATGTTTTCCTCCATCCCACCCCACCCCATCAGCATCTTCCAGGTATTGAGTTAGAGAAGGACTGAAGTCTATTTACGATCTGGCCCATTATCCAGTTTCCGAATAAACATAGCTCATTGGCACTTCTGTGAAGTCAGCATTTAAAGGAAATGATTGCTCTGGGAAACATCATCAATCAAAAGCATTAATTAGAAGCCACCATGTGTTTTTATTTCCTGGGAGCTAACGGACTGCAAACAATATCAGAGAATCCTCTGCAGCTTATCATCAACTTCTGTTATTACCACATTCTTTCTCTCCCATCAACAGTCCTCACCATAGGGAACACACACCTGCCCCATCCCCATTGACCATACTGACTAGCACTGCAACTGCTCAACATGTGGGGAGCCATAAGTTCCCCACCCTAGTTCTGGGGCATCTGAAAGAGGTTAGGACCATGAGGATACAGAGAGAACAGATTGAGCAGCAGTTTGCAGGCACGATGACTAGATGGAGCCTCCATATTTAAAGGCAATATAGCTTTAAGTCAGGGGTGTCAAACTCAATTTCATTGAGGGCTGCATCAGCAAGCTCAGAGACCACCAAGGAATCTTCATGTTCTAGACATCTTCATTACAGCCCAATTACAAAGCCAAACTCGGCCAAGCTTAATGAACATAGATGTCACATGCATCGCCCTGATTACTGCAAGAGAGAATCTCCACCAAAATTGGTAGCCAAATTCCAACTATTCTCAGTTGCAGATTCACAACCTCAATTCTCAACTGCACAGATTCATATATGGAATGGATATGAGTCTGATTAGCCTTTGGCCTTTAAAAGAAACCCGCATACAGTGGCCTCTGATACACAGTTGAGGAAGCTGTCATGTTGGCTTATACACATGGAAGGAGCCCGTCATATCATGCACAATGGCCACGGGTGATTTTACATCAAGAACTTATGAAATTCCATTCTTGCAGAAAAAACTTACAAATTAGACCACATTCTGCAGTATCCTTTGGTTTCACAAGACGTAGGTGATTTTAAAACCATTTATGTTTATTTAATCTGGCAGGTCCAAAGATGCACATTGATAACTTGATACAGAAGAAAATGAGTTAAGTCAGAGACAGTTCTCTCAATTTTATGTAGCTTTCAAGCAATGGAATAGTCTTGCTTGCATTAAACCCTAAACCCAATAAAATATAATCATTGTATTTACATAAAATGCTATGTTCAAATACCCAAACCATATTCTAGCTTAAGGTAAGGGGCCTGTTAAATTTCCTACAGTACGATGAAATCACTAGCTACCTAATCCCAATTTAGCCTAGTAGAGATTGTTGTGCAAACCCTGCATTTACGTTTTTATACCCCAAAGCTTTTCTAACTTTTCAGTTTAAGCGTGATTTTAATTAGTTTTATCAGGATGTAACTATTGGTTTATTTATTTTTCTTTACTGTTAATTGCCTTGAATCCCCAGTGGGCAGAAAAGCAGAGAGTCAAAATTAACATCATCTAAGTATTCTTCAGATTACAAGGGGTAGCACACTCTGTAAATGTAATAATTCAGAAATATGCCCTTTCAATCCTTACTAAAGGTAGTCCTCAATTTACAACCACAATTGGGACTGACATTCTCATTGCTAAATGGTGTGTTCGTTAAGTGAGTCGCATCCAATTTTACAACCTTTCTTGCTTTGGTCATTAAGTGAATCATTATTAAGCAAATCCAGCTTCCCCCATTGACTTTGCTTGTCTGATGTCCTCTGGGAAGGTTTCAAATGGCGATGACACAATTTTGGGATGGTACCACATGGGGCCAGCCATTTTCTGGCTTGTACGATTGTAAGACTCTATCTTACTCATGTCATGATGTTGAGATATGATATAGCTTCTTTGGTCTACCATACAGAATAACAGAATAACAGAGTTGGAAGAGAACTGAGAGGTCTTCTAGTCCAACCCCCTGCTCAGGTAGGAAGCCCTATACCATTTCAGACAAATGGTTGTCCAATCTCTTCTTTAAAACTTCCAGTGTTGGAGCATCCACAACTTCTGGAGGCAGGTTGTTCCACTGTTCTAACTGTCAGGAAGTTTCTCCTTAGTTCTAGGTTGCTTCTCTCCTTGATTAGTTTCCATCCGTTGCTTCTTGTCCTGCCTTCAGGGTGCTTTAGAGAATAGCTTGACTCCCTCTTCTTTGTGGCAGCCCCTTAGATATTGGAATACTGCTATATACTATGTGAACATGTGAATTTTGTTAGTATGCTATATGAACCAGCCAATCTGTCATATGTTTCCTTTTGGGCAAATTGCAAATACAGGTAGTTTTTACTTACAACCTTCCATTTATTTTTTGAAGTTACAACAGCACTGAAGTTACAACAGCACTGAAGTTACAACAGCACTGAAGTTACAACAGCACTGAAAAAAGTGACTTATGACTGTTTTTCATACTTAATAATCATTGCACTATCCCCGTGGTCATGTGATCAAGATTCAGACACTTGGCAACTGGCATATATTTATGATGCTTGTAGTGTCCCTGGGTCATGGAGTCACCTTTGGTAACCTTCTGATGAGCAAAGTCAATGGGGAAGCCAGATTCACTATGTTATTAACTTAACAACTGCAGTGATTCATTTACAATTGTGGCAAGAAAGGTCATAAAATGAGGCCAAATTTGCTTAACAACTGTCTTGCTTAGCAATGAAAATTTTGGGCTCAATTGTGGTCGTAAGTCGAGGATTGCTTATAATAGACCAGAGTATACGAACACGGAGTTGTGGTAAAAATGAAATGATCTTTATGAATTCTAGTCCTGCCTGAGAAACAAAGCCAGCTGGTTGTCTTTGGGCCAATCATTTTGACTCAGCTCTAGAAAGGCGACAATGGCAAACCACACTTCTGAAAAACCAG